CATCTCCAACTTGAGTTACTCGAATCGATCAAGAACCACTACATCTTCAACCGAAATGCATCTTGGGACAACGAGATGAAAGGGTTCTTTATGTCCAAGATGAAGGGAACCATGGAGGCAACTCTTGGGGGTGACAAGGTGATTAGTTTTAGTGTGAAAGATAAAGTGTTGGATGGGATTTTATTTGGTTCCAATTATTTTCTCCACGACCTATTTGAGAAGTGGTTAAAAGACATTTTTTTTCAAAGGGGATTGGGAACTGTTAAAATTGGCGGGAAAGATGGTATACATGAAATTAGGTTAAGTTATTAGGGTATACGTGGAAATGCAATGGAAAATGGGTACACGTGGAGTTGCCTCCCTAGCAAGATCCAAGTTTCATGGGCTAAATTGGGGTTTTTCTTTATATATATATAGAAATTTCCTGATAATACATAAAATGACCGTATTGTCCTTTGTGTAGTTGGGGCTAAATTGGGATTTTTCTTCTCGTAGTTTTATTATGTGTCTTGTTTTGTTTAATTAATTTTCAGTGTTGTTAAAATCTTAATCATAATCCTTTTGTTTCTTTGTATAATTCCTATTCTCATCTCATTCTTACACTCTTATAACCATATTGAGATAATTGTGTAGGATGATCTCAAATTCTAATTTAACTTTAGTATACAAAAGGTATATAACCTAAGTCCATTTTTTCAGTTTAGTTCCTAACTGAATAAATGTTAGGAATTAAATTGAATTGAGTTATACACCTAAATGTTAGGTGTGGGTTTTGGTCGGTCATTAATCGGTCACGATTTCATGGGGATTTTGGTCGACGAGGGGAGGGGAGGTAGGGTGGAGCTTCGTCAATGGTAAAAAGAGATGGTTGGCATGGGTTTAGGGGTTGAAATGAAGGTTTTCAAAGTTTTGAGTTTATTTCAAAATTTGTGATTTCTTTTTTAACATATATATATATATATATATATGATTTTAATTTTTTAGTTTTAAATAAAATTTTAAAATTATGTGACATTTGTCACTTAATTGGAAAATTAACGTCGTTGATGGTCATATCAATGATCGATCGATAACGAATCAACGTTTTATTCACCGTGAATCGTAGGATGAAAATCGTGATCTCACGCGATTCCGAAGGCCGATCGACCGTCGATCGATCATGATTTCATGAGGTTTTGGTCGCCAATGGAAGGGGAGGTTATGGTGGAGCTTTTTCAACGGAAAAAGGCGACAACAAACTTGGATTTAGGGGTTGAAATGAAAGTTTTCAAAGTTTTAAGTTTATTTCAAAAATTTTTGTTTTCTTTTTAATATATATAAGTTTAATTTTTAGTTTTAAATAAAATTTTTAAAATTACCAGTTGTGACACATGTCACTTAACGATCAAACTTAACAGTTAATCATGGCTAGACTCATTTAGAGTAACAGAATAAAACGTAAGACATCAAACTAGAACGAAATAAACACTAAAAACTAAACTGAAAAAAATAGACATATATGTAGTACTTTTTATATACTTAAGCCTTCTGATTTCATTCTAAACTCATCTTTAAATTTCAAAATATTTTGATATCAATCCTCACAATTTCATTTTAAATAGATCTTTAAACTCTAAAATGTTTTATATCTATTCTCAAACATTAAGATAAGCATGATTTGAATAATTCAAATATAATATATATTATCTGAATTGTCCGTCCAACTCAGTTGGTAGAGCGCAAGGCTCTTAGCCTTGTGGTCGTGGGATCGAATCTTACGGTGGGCAATTCATAATTTTGACTGCCGGAGGTCTTCCACAGAAGATGCTCTCAATCTGGCGTTGGGGGCAGCCTACTACCCTACCTCCCCTTATCCCATTACATATGGGAATAAGGTCAAAAAAAAAATATTATATATAGTATATAAATAGTATCGGAGGTATATTAAATACTCAAGATGACATAATATAAGCTTAATAAGAATTTGTATTTTACTATTCTACTCGTAATTAAAAAATTATAAATAATTTATTTCACCTCTATCACAAATATTATAATAATTTAATCAATTAAATAATATTAATCAACGTAGAAAGCGAGTATCCCACGGTAAATGGTAACGTCGAGGGTGAGGATGCCCAAATCGTTCATTAATTTTGACTTCTGACCTTTCCCCCTTTTCTTGTTCTTTAGGTAGCTCAAGAAAATTCCGCCAAAAATCCCCAAATTCATCTCCCCGGAAAATCCAATTCCATAGCAACACGGAAGTGAAAAACGGTACCGACAATGTACGTAGATCACGCCTTCTCGATATCCGACGAGGATATCATGATGGGCAATCCCCATGCCATTAACGATCGTCCGCCCTACAAGGAGATCGGCCTCGCCGTCGCTCTTCTCGTCTTCGGCACCCTCGGCATCATCTTGGGCATCTTCATGGCCGTCAACAGAGTCGGCGGCGACCGAGCCCATGGTAAGATCTGAATTAAAGCTTTAATTTCACGTAGGGCCGATTGGCTGATTTCCGGTTTTTGATTGGTTCTTTCAGGGCTTTTCTTCGCGATACTCGGATCCATATTGTTCATTCCGGGCTTCTATTACACGAGGATTGCGTATTACGCGTATAAGGGATACAAAGGCTTCTCCTTCTCCAACATTCCCCCTGTGTAGGGCCGATTCTCCCTCTCCTGCCCCGCCCTTATGTACAAATCCCTTTTTTTATTTACTCTGTTTTTGAATGTTTCGTTTCCACGGATTCCGTAGTTCTGTTCTTGACTCCACTTTCTATGTTTTTTGTTTCATTGTGCAATTGTGGCCAGTAGTCTTGTTTTTTGTGGTTTTTAATGACATAACATCTAATATTACTATTTACAGTTTCTTAACGTTACTAATTATTCCCCTATGTTGTATTGATCCCTTGCATTTAGACAAGTTCTTTCTTGAATTACTAGCTTCTGCATATGTTATTATTAGCTAAGGTTATTGTTGTTTGAAAGAATAGATGCAGAGGATTTGAAGGGTTGCATTTGCTCTTGTGGAATTCGTGCGTACAATTAGACCGCAAATTCGTCTTTTTTGCTTTGTGTTACCACTGTTTTATGATTTTTGATATGTGAATATCCAAAACCTTTCTAAGTATCTCTTGATACCAGTGTGAATTTCCAAGTTTTTTACCTTAAAGTACTTTATCAGATTATTAGCCATTGGCATATCAGTCTTACAAGCATGTGATTCTTAATCATCAGTTGTCATTTTCCAGGTTGTGTTTCCACTAGAATCACTTACTCCATCTTTGTAGACTAGGGTTTATTAGAGGTAGCATTCTTGGTGCAAGAGGTAGTTCCGGACAGTAATATTCTTAATAGGTTATTGGGGCATACGTAGATTGTGACTAGTATCAAGATTGATTGTGATGCAGAAACTATGGCTGGTTGCACTAATTGACAATGGAATATAAAGGTGAAGATTGTGAAGGGATTCGTGTGTGTGAGGGGGACCACTCTCTAACATTACCCACCTTGTAACCCATTGAACTGAAGCTCTAGGTTTCTTTCTCCAGTCTTTGCCCGGTTTTTAAGCTCAAGTTCCACAAAATCATATCCCTCCTGTGTCCTGGCCTTGTCTGGGTCATCTCTAATTTGTTTTTCATTTTTTCTGGATGTGTCCTGGTGTGCCCCTTATCTCACTGTGTTGGTGACCGTTTCACATTCGACAGTGGTATGGGGAGATTTGACTTGTGTCCTTGTATCACATGCTTCACAAATGAAGAGAGAGCCATGAAAGTTTAGTTATCCAGGATGAGCAAGGGGATATAAATGCAAATCTTGAATCGGTGAATGCTGAACCAAAGTTGTACCTACAAATTTGGGAGATAGTGATAAGTAGATAGCTAGTGAGAAGATTATGGAGTAGTTCAAGGGGTTCACCTTTAGAAGTATGGAAGTTCTGTATATTAATACAGCTTAGTATTTCATCTGTCTGAAAGAGTTGTTTAGGGTTTGTTACATGCGAAAGAAATATTTTCAAAATTTGGAAATATGGTGAGATTAACATGATGTAAATAACCAGAGAAAGTTGATATCGTTGTTGTTTGCTATGAACAAGGGTTAACTGATAGGACCAGAAGGGCTTGAGAACATCTGTGCAAATAAATCTGTTTAATACTAGTGAAAATCATTTACGCTCAGGTTGCAAGAGGTATACATTTATTAGAAACTAGTATGACCATACCTAGTGGTGTTTATTAAGAGTCGGTCGTGAGTTAAGTAGTGAGCTTGTTAAAAAATTATTATTTGACTCGTTGCTCGTTCAAATTTTGTTTGACTTGTACTCGTTAAAAAAATCTTGTCGCTCAATTTGATCCATTGCTCATTAAACTCATCAAAATTTATGATAGGATAATTAGAGTTTATTTTTTGTAGTAGTAAATTAATAATTAATAATTATTCATTAATAATTTAATATTTTTATTGTTTATTTGAAAATTAATATATCAATAAATTAACAATAATTGTTAATTAATAATTTAACATCTTTCTTATTATCTATTTACAAATTAGTAGTTATTATTTAGATTTTTTTAAATGAAATAATCCTTTAAAGTAATTATTAAAAATAAAAAAAATTGACAAATTGCTGGTGAATTTATTGAGTTTGATCAAAACCTAATCGAGTTTTGATCAATTCAAATTTATATAGCTAAACAGCTTATGACGTTAGCCAGTTAACTTGAGTCGAAAACTAATCGAGTTTTGGTCAAGACGTGAGTTGCTTGAGTCGAAAACTAATCGAGTTTTGGTCAAGTAAAATTTAAATAGCTAAACGGCTTACGACTGAGCTGCTTAACACAGCTCTGGTATCAGCCATGATCTTTGATTGGTCATATCAAAGTTCACTTTTTTGTGACCTAAAGAAACAAAATCAAGATCTCCAAACGCTTAAACTTCAAAATGGCAAGCAGAAGAATGCAAGAACCACACAATAGACACAAAAAGCAAGGAAAGAAACAGAAGCCAAACATGCAGATGAATAAACTGCTTCTCAAATCAAAACCAAAATATGCTTACGGTTCTATACATACAAACGGTAATGCTAAGCACTGATATACAGCCATGGTTTTTTTTTTTTTTAAAAAAAAGAGGCATTTTCAGCTTTAGCTTCAATTACCATAAGAAAAAGATAAATCCCATTCCCACCAACTACTTAAACTTGTTACAGCAACGATTTCATGCAAAATTACAACCCCTCGAAACCTTGGGTAATTCTCAGAAACGAATGATGATTTTTGCACGCATGCAAAACAGGGGAAAACACAAGCCCCTCATCACCCATCACAATAACAAAACCTAATCATTTATAGAGAGGAAACAGAGGAAGCACCACTAGAAGCTTATCAATCAGATCATGTGATTGGAGTGAAAGGGTTTCGAGGAGGCTGTGGGATCATGCAATGTTGCTGCGGTTGAGGTTGCGTCCAGTGATGGAACGCCTCTCTTGGCTCCAACCCTTCGAATTGATATCCATGAACTTCTTGCATGCATTCTTTGTCACTGCAATTCTCTTCTACATCCATTTCATCAGTTTCCATAGACTCCGGAATCGGGATTTCCTGCTCCAAATCTCTGCTTTCCACTGAAGGAATCTGTGAAGGAACCCATGGAACCATAGCTAAACATCCTTCGTTTTCCTTCTTGTTCTCTTCGGTTTCGGCTGATTTCGTGTCGGTTGCCCGTAGGAATTGGTCTGCAACAATTCTAGGCCCAAATCAGAACCAGGAAAAAAAATACCGTAAACAGCTAAAAAAAAGGAAACGAAATGATGAGGAAACGTACTCTTGAAGCCGGAGATGTAGTCGGAATGGAGGGAGAAAAAGCGGGTATAAGGAGGAAAAAAACACGAGGGAGGTTCATTAGGATCAAGGAGTGTGTTTGGGTTAAAGAGAACGATGGCTCTTTCGTGATTCTCGGGGAAGGAGTCCTCCTCGATAATCGGAGGCAAATCAGCGTCGAGACGGCGGATCTTGGTGGCCGGCGACGAGAGCGAGAAATCGGAGAAGTCGTCGTTAACCTGGTCGATATCCTTTCGCTTCAACTTCCCAATCAAACCCATTTCTTTTCTTTTTTTCTCTTTCCTGCTTCAACCAATCAATCAAAGAACGTTGCTGTTGTGGAGGGAGAAATCGGTGAGTATAATATCTGAGAAATTTAGAAGAGGGGTGAAGAAATTCTGACAGCCTCTAGAGAATTCCAGAAAGGAACTGCAGAAATCAGTGGTGCCTTCTTATGGATATTTTTTTAATATAAAAATGTTTAAATTATGTCTCTCAAATGTATAAAGAATTTTTTATTAAAAATAAGTGATTAATTTTTTTTTATTATTCTTTTAAATATTTATCTTTAAAAAATTTAAATAATATATATCACATCAATATTTTTAAAAAATATTAAAAAATTAATTTAGAGTATAATTTAAATATTTTTTATATTAGTTTTTTTTTTAGAAAAAGTAGAACCTGAGTTCCCGTTTTTAGCCTTAGAAAATGAAATATTTCGCTGGTACAAAATTTTTATCAGTTTAAGATCAATATCTATTTAAAAGAAATTACTTAATTAATCAGTAACATATATTTTATAAAACAACTATTTGAATCCAAAAATTATGTACGAATGCAATCATATCTATTTATTGATGTGATTAAATCTATTTATATCTATCTTTGACTGAAGTTTTTTTTTAGATTTTTAATCTTTATTTATATGAGACTTATGTGATCTTAAGTTGCTAGTTTGTTTCAATCAGAGACAAAACTAAAATTAAATATTGACAGGTGATAAAATATTAAACTATTTAAGAAAAATAGAAAGACTTATTAAGTATTTAAACTCGAAATTCAGCATGAACCAAGTGACCTTAGTGATTAAGAGATTGTTGTTATCTTTGAGGTCCCAAGTTTAAGCACGTATGCAGGGGTATGAGCGTTTATTGTCAAATAGTTGAAAGTCTTTGTACAAATGTTTCATTGTATTCATCCTAAATTTAAAAAAAAAACTCAAAAGATAACTTCTAATTTGTTTAATATTTAAACTTACAATGACTTAAATTGTAATTAGATAAAAATTTTGAGAACACAGACTTATCATTTTCTAGTTTGATCCATACTTGATTAAATATTTAATAATTTTATATTTTTTTAAATTTAAATATTTATTTTTAAATTAATTAAAATACTATTAAATCAAAATTATATTGAATATATAAATTTTAACAGAATTTAGGGCCCTCTTGGGCCCTAAGGGAGCTTCGTCCCCGGTTTTAATGATTATAAGAAATTTTTCTAATTTATGATTAATTTATGATTGTGATTTTAAATATTTATTATAATTCAAAATATTTTTTATTTTAAATAAAATCTATTGCTTCTATAAAAATAAAAAATATTTTTTACAACAAATATGGCTTACAGATTATTATCAATAGCTACAATTAACTTAGAATCATAATATTTTCAAAAAAAAAATTAGAATCATAATATGTCAATAATTTATAACTCATATATTTAAATTATGTTAAAAAAGAATAAATAAATTGAATTTTATTAATTTAATTGAATTTATAATTAATTTAAATTACTTTATAATTTAAAATAAATATTTTATATTTAAAATTTTGATTATAATATGATTTTTAAAAATTTATCACTTGATATTTAAAAATTCTAAAATACAAATTATTTATTAGAGCAAATATGAAACCTTAAAACAAGTTACTATGAAAAAATTAAAAAACTAAATTAACTGAATTGAGGAGATTCAAATAAATTTAAAAATTAAACCAACCAACCATCAATTAGTTGGTCTAGTAGGATGAGACACTAGATTTTTTAAACAAGGTTAGGAGTTCGAATCCTAATGTTTGTGTATAGAGCAAACTGGATTAAAAGGGTTATCCCATAATGAGTATATGCAAAACCCGATTTGGATTCCGAATGGAGTAAACTATGTCGGAAGGGTCGCCCTTGTCTCTGCAATACCCGATCCGGACTAATCGATCGATCAATAGATCGGATACTGATTGTTATAAAAAACTATTTTTTTAATATTCCAGCCAGTAAAATTTCCATAAAGAAAACAGTTAAAATGTCAAGCAAATGATTGGTTCTAACATTTTTACCTCAAACTTTTATGTAAATATCATTTTCACTATTTACCGTGACGACTCCATGTGCACAAACCTTAACCTATATAAAATAAAACCACCTTCAATTAACAAGAGCTGTTATTTTACCAGGATTATACATATGCTGTACAGTTCTGAGAATAATTTTATTCAATAGCCTTGGTTTGATGCATAGATTTTATGCAATATGAGCATGCTGTTTTCATACATATACTAACCCTTAATTTATTTAGTCTCAAGCATTGCCTAGAAAAAATATTGATCTGGAAATTTTAAGCATTTTCATCTGGTGAAAGCAGCAGAACAATTGAAGAATAACTGAGCATAGAGCATGTTTTTTGATGGCAATCTCTCTCTCCGGGACTTCGTCCGATATGAGATCGAATGGTGCAGGCTTACTCGTGTCGACCAACGGCTCCGATCGAGAATCGAAAAAACGAGCAGAACAACAGAAGGGATTGTGCATGTAGATTGAGAGGTTTCTCAACTACATATAAAAAAATATGCAGCACACAGAACCATACTAGTTGATCTCATCAAAAGGATATTGAGGCCGGATATTTATTGCACTAATATATGGAAGAAGTTCATTCCAATAAGCAAGAAGAGTTGTGCTACACTGCAACTTAAGGCATATATCACGCAGATAAAACGGCTTGAAACTTGGGGTTTTGGTAGACGGTGAACCGACTGATGTTCGATAATGTTCCCTAAATATTTGAATTATCAAGCAACTCACTATATGTTGCTATGCATTCTAACCATCTTTAATCCAAATGTAAGAGCTGAGAAGATAATGTTCATGTAGAATATGGCCTAGAAAAATGAAGCAATCAAATTGCAGTTCTAACTGGTTATATTTCTACATGTTTTCTTTCATTAAAACTGACTCATGCAGATTAACAGGTTCTATACCGTGTGTGGCTCCAAAATGAAGTAACCTAATTCCAGTCAAAATAGTTTATTCCAATCAAATTGCAGTTCTAGAGCTTGTTGTGTCTTACACTGGATCGTTTATTCCTTATCCTCACAAATAAGCTCAGACACCAGTGAGTAAAAGTGCAAAGTTGCAAATATGATATGAAGGTCTGATAAGAAAGTACCGATGTGAATGCCACGAAACAGCTTGTGTCGGACCATTCTGGCTTTCCAGGAGTATGACCACGCCACTGCAACCTCTCTGCTGTCGGGAAGTCACATAAGCCGAGTGACTCCCATTCACTGCTTGATTTCAGCACAATCAAATGATCAAAATGCAGACAAGGGCGGGCTCACTCACTCAGAAAAGGTTCTCACCGGCGGAATTCGGTCATGAGACAGACGAATCTGAAAAGATCTGATGAAGAGTCTTCCTCTTTTATCCCACCAAAAGCAGTAAATCTGTATCACAACACTAATTAACAAAACCAAAAACAAGGTTCAACGTAAATTTAGACTCGATGAGAGTATAGAGGATCACAGAATTATCATGGCAGTATGAGTTGTTGTTTCCCTCTTGTGTGACCATATTCATCACCCATGCAAATCACTGGGACACCCTGGTTAAATGAATATCATAGTTCGTAAAAATTATGAAGCCTCACTCACAAGCAACACAAGTAAAAAAAGTAAGCAAATCATGTTAAGGACTAGAAGTAGCCAACTTAGAAACAGTTTAATTTTCTTTCATTATAGCGTCTACTTCTGACATAAACACAAGTAATTGTATTCCAACACAACAGAGCAATCCAACGTGCATAACAATGATTTAGCCTTACTTGTGACAAGATATGCTCCATAAATGCCTAATAACTATTGAAGATTCTCTGACATGAGGAATTTTTAAAATGAGGATTTATTATTTGAATGTCATAAAGTTTCTTTTCGTATAAATATAAAGCATAGGAAAACTTCTATAAGAAAGACAATAAGACCATAGCTATCCACTTGATTGGTGACCTGCTAGTGTGTTCTAGAGGCAGATCATAGATGACAAACCTGATAAAAGTTTGGACTCCCACAAAGGCATTCAACAAAAGCTCCAGAAAACCCCTCTGTGCCCTTTATAAACTGTCGCACAATGTCACGATACTGAAATGGAAAGGAATAGGCAAACAAATACAGAACCATTTCCATAATATAAAATATAGATGCATCTAGAAATGTCAGTTGGATTTTCCTAGCTCAACCAGGAACTACAGTGCATCCGAACGATAGGAAAACAGAAGCTTCAACGTGGAAAAATAAAACTAGAGTTGACCAAGATTTTAAGTTAGCTTAAATTTTCATTTCAGTAACTTTGGGTCCCGAGTAACAAGTGAAGTGTAATATCTGAAAATTAAGTACCGGCTATGGTTTAAGTTCATGCACTGGACTACTACAAAGTGCATCATTCTACACAGAGACAAGGTAATCTTTCTTGGATATATGATGTGTGCAAGGGTAACAAAGATTACCTCTGCAAAATTATTTTTGTATCTTCGAATTTTGAATCTGCAAGCACCATTCATGTATCTTCTCTCAACCAAACCCTTTTTGCTATATAATCAGGTGGCAGTTCATCAGTAAATCTTTTGAAAAGTAAAGTGACTCAGCATAGCCGGTAATTGACTTGTTCTGTCTTGTTCTGCTAGCAAAGGTAATCTTGTCTCAGTCAAATATGATCAACTAAACCAATAGCCCTTCATGCACCTCATATTTGACTTGTTCTGCTAGCAAAGGTAATCTTTCTTGGATATATGATGTGTGCAAGGGAGAGATCTCAGGAAAGATTTATTTTGTATTTTACGGATTTTAAACGTGTATGAGGCTCTTCATCCTTTTAGTGCAAATGTGAAAACTCAACAATCTGAGTGTCAATAGGTGATTGTTTCGAGCTTCCTTGCAGGTTTGCCATCTAAATTTGATGCTGCTGGAACACAAACTCTTTCCAATTTAGGGATTTCCTCCTATGAAGTCGTCACTCGATGTTATGTGTTCAGGGGTTCTCGTCTCCAAATTCTCGAGGTGGTAGGGATGGTGGTGGCTGTGGATTCAGTTGGAGTGGCAGTCATGGAAAAACAATAATAATAATAAAATCTAATCAAATCATCTCGATCAATGGAGGATTGCTGAGAGGGGTTCCAGTTGTTATCAAGTCGTCTTCTAAAGAATTTCCATATACATTAACCGAATCCCAGAGACTGTCAGCATAGGACTAATAAAATCATATCAGAGAAGAAAGGCAACACAAATAGAAGGAGATGTGTACTAGATGTTTGTTTAGATTAACCTGCTGCTCCTGGTCATAATGGAAGCAAGATCAAAGCCAAAGCCAAAGCCATCAAAGCAAAATCTTCCGGGAACAACTATGTCCAAAAGTTAAAACCAGCGTGAGGAAGTAGCACGCAATAAGTAGCATGGAATAAAAAAAGATTGGCATCTACCTCAAGCAGTCTAATATAAATTGGCGCACCACAGGGAGAGTACGATAATAGTACAACATGTGTCTTTGTGTGTTATACATGATAAAGTCTTGGGACAGCTATACCTTCGGTGCTAACATGTAATAGACACAGTTATCGACACCTCTAAATTGACAACATGGGACCTTTCTCATTGCCTTCTGCTGTGTCGTTGAAAACGACATCCATGATAACCTACTCAAACAAACTCAATGAGAAAAAAACTAAATATTTTATCAAATGATATTTCTTATTGAGATTAGAATCTGCTCCGCTCTGACTTTAATTCCACGTTTATGTGCTTCTTTAACAAGTTATTTGAATTCGTTTATTGCACCACGACCACAGTCACTAATACCAGAAGATGAATACCGTATCATGGGAGAGAAGTAATTGATTGTTGAATATCCCCAAAAGTTCAACCTTGAAAAGAAGGTATTGAGGTGTAACTATGACAAGTTGCCAAAATGAAATTTTTAGTTAGACAGTATGTAGCCAACGTACAAGTTTCAAACAGTTCAACCAATGCAAAAGAAATTGGCAACTTTAATAAACCCAGTGTCTTATGAATGTCTCTTCGCTATTAAATCTCATAAATCAACCCTACAATTATGTCTTTGAATGCAGGCACCAGGCAGGATACTCTAGTCTAGTGACAATTTGCACTGGGTCCTTGCTCATTTTGTCCAATTTTCCCTTCTTCATGCTTTGTTCTAAAATAAAGGCGTGCTTGGATGATGCAAGAGAGAACTGTAGCCAAGAAACATTCATAGGACAATGAATTTATGGGTTTCATAGAACCAGTAGCTAAGAGAATATCAAATTTGACATTCTTCCGAGCATTGTCAAATACAACATCAAATGGTTCAGCAAATTTGATGGTCTTCAATCATCTGGGCAATTTTGAGGAAATAAAAAGGTTGTCATGATTAATTAGTCATGATAATAAAGCCATTTTTCAAAATCATTCACTAGTTAATTAAATCTGGCATGGTAACTGAAAATAGCCCTAAATCAAAGGTTGAAATTTCATACTTATAGTCACCCAAGACAGAATTGTAGCTATAGTATTCCAACTCATTGAATTCATGACATGGCATTAACTATGCGTTCTACTTCAAGTTCCTGCAAACCAAATTAACAGATAATTAATAACCAAAGCAAATAATAATTTTTATCATTTCATCCCATTTCATAATGGCATAACCTAAGCAGGTTGAAACAGCAACACAAAATCTGAAGTTTAAAGTGTACAGAAGTTAGTAGTTAACCTTACACCATTTAAGAACAAGCAATTCATATATCTGTTCTTAGTAAACTGAAATTGGCACAAACTCTTTAACAAAAACATATGGTTCTAGAAAATTGCTCCTGGTAAATAGAATGCTTCCTAACCATATTCTCCCGAAATGAGAGGTGGCCAAGTTCAAAAACCAATATTAATTGTAAAGATCAACACTTTAACATCAGAACCCTACTGATTCCTTGACTTGTAGTGACAAAAAAACCAAATCTATAGCTTAAGTATGAAGTTTACCAGATTCAAAAGTTTCAAGTCCAAAAATCATTTAGAGATGACTATTTTTGCACAGCCAAGGTTCTGCCAAAGCTTCACTTTGAAGTAAATTAGTGTCATTTGTTTATAATTCCTGTCGTAACCGTGTTTCGGTTGAACTCGGAATTGGGCTTCGACTTGAAAAATGTGGATTGGAGTCGCCACCGATCATTTATTTAAAAATAAATGGGTTGATCGGATACCCTATTTCTTACCTGATCTGCGTCTTTCCAAAGATGTGTCGGGTTCGGGAGTCGGTTACGGTTAAGGAATGATTAGCACCTTGAACCGTCCTTTCGGTACTACGCACTTTCCAGTTGTCTTTGATTAAGAAAATTGCATTTTAAATTAAAAGGTAAAATAGCGATCCAAAACTTACCTTTGACGGATTTAAATCATGCCTTTTAAAGAAAATCAGAAAATGTTAGATGAAAAGTAAGGAATAAATGAATAAAATAAATAAACCCAAGCAAGAAGGAAGATAGAATTAGTAAAAAAAAAGCGAAGATAAATAAATAAATAAGATAATAAATTAATAAAATAAAAACAAACACATAATCAATAAATTAATAAAACAAATTAGAAAAACTAAGCGAAAGTAAAAAAAAATATAAATACAAATACAGAAAAAATGGATAGAATAAAATAAAAAAATAGTAATAAAATATGAAAGACTAAAAATGATAATATATATAACTATTAAGTAATAATAATAATAAATAGGAAAAAAACGCCACTCCACCGAAAATAGAAAAAGGGATACGAATTTAAAAAAAAAAGGATACAGATTTGAAAAAAGGATAAAGGTTTGGTCAGCTAAAAGAGGGGGTAGGGCCTAAAGGAGTGATAATTCAAAATGTTAGGTTATATATATAATATAATATGTATATAATAATAATAAGATATGGTTTTTTAATACAAAGCAAATGAAAATGATAAAACGTGTATACATATAATATTAGAGAAAACAATAAAAATATATGTATATATATAGTTAAAATAAAATAGAACTAGAAAAGCTAATGATTTAAAAAGTTTATATATATATTAACGTATATAAAAAGAATAGAAATATAAATAAAAGAAAATAATAATAATATAAATAAATAAAATATTAAGAAAAATATACATATAAATAAAATAAAACAAATAGATGAAACAATAACAATTAAAACTTAAATACATGTGACTGAATTGAATGAAAAACAGAAGTGTGTATCGATTTTAGGAGAAATTGGGGGCGATAATAGAAGAACTAAAGAACGGAGGACCAAAACTGTGGTTTACCCTATTTAAACGAAAACACGTGGGTCGTATGGCGTTGGGTCGGGTCAGTTGGCTCTACGGGTTGGTTAAATGGGAATTATAAAAGTTAATTAATTTTTTTTAGAAGGCTTCATTTCTTCTTCTCTCTCGCGAAGAGCTTCTCCGTCCCTTTGAAAACACTCTCAAGTGTTCATCAACCAGATGAACAACGGCTGTGGATTCCAGAATTCGGCCGCCTTGTCTTGTCGGCGCCGCCGTCCACCGGAAGTGGAAAGGAAAAAGTTTCCATTTTTCTAAAAGATCTCCCCCCCATGTTCTGAAAATCCAGGTGGGTTCCTTTTTTTAAAATCGCCTCGGGGAGCCGTGGATCTAAGGGAGAAGATCTTGGCTTACCCCCTATTTTCATAAGCCAAGAACCCTTTTCTGGGTTTTATTCGAATCAAAATCAGTGGAATAACTATGCATGCAAGACGAAAAAAGAAAGGTATGATTTTTGTACCCTTTTATTTCTTCACAAAATGATTACAAAATGCTTGTGTTTACTTCGAATGGCTCCTGATCTCTCTCGATGTTCCCGTGTGAAAGCTGTGTAATTGTCTATCTGTCTCTCATATGATTTTGTGGGTAATCTCCCTCTGTAAACCCCTCCCCTTATCGTGAGAATTACATGTTTATTTATAATCAAAAAAACTACACTTAGAATCCTATTTTAACTAGAATCCTAATTCTTGTTGTCTTCTCTTGTGATTTGTTATTGCTTTATGCGTGACGTTGGTGAGGTTGAGGAATTCACGGTGCTGAGTAAACCGGATGAGGGAAACGTGGGTGGCGAGGACTCGTGAGGCAAGGATTACGGCGCTAAAGAGGGAAGCTGCTAGGGTTTCTGGAAACCCTAGCTCCAGTTGGGTTGCGTGCGTGGGTTTGGGCTGGTGTAGGCTTGTTGTTGTATTCGGGCACCATTTGGGCCTGAAAAGAAAAAAATGTAAATAAATGTATTAGATATAAATGGATATATAATATAATTTATAATATAAATCTATATTATATAATATAATGACGTTTGAATGACGAAATTTAGTGTCTTCAGCTGCCCCTCTTTGCTCATTATCGTGTAACGAAAATAGAGCAAAGATTAAAAGACATAAATTTCGTCCCTATCGAATATCCTCTGTCGTAGAGTTGAAATTCGATGTTGAAACTGGTTTTTAAAACACGAGATGACTCCCTCGTCGTGAGGTTGAGTTAAAACTGGAAAATTCTGAGCCTGAATCCTTCGTCGTGAAGTTGAAATCGAACTCGTGAAGTTGAAATCGAACTCAGAGTTCTGGAGGTAGCTCATGGATCGTCTTCTAGCCAAAGATACTTCGTTGTGAAGCTGAAATTGGGAAATTGTTTATTGACAACCAGCGGTCCCTTCGACGTGAAGTTGAACTTGCGTTGTCTGGAGTCCAATATCCTTCGTTGTGAAGTTGAAATTGGCTCTGAAATTGAGAAGTTGACAGTCAGCGGTCCCTTCGTCGTGAAGTTGAACTTGTACTGTCTTGAGTCCAATATCCTTCGTTGTGAAGTTGAAATTGGGAAATTGTTTATTGACAACCAGCGGTCCCTTCGTCGTGAAGTTGAACTTGCGTTGTCTGGAGTCCAATATCCTTCGTTGTGAAGTTGAAATTGGCTCTGAAATTGTTTAGTTGACAGTCAGCGGTCCCTTCGTCGTGAAGTTGAACTTGTACTGTCTTGAGTCCAATATCCTTCGTTGTGAAGTTGAAATTGGGAAATTGTTTATTGACAACCAGCAGTCCCTTCGTCGTGAAGTTGAACTTGCATTGTCTGGAGTCCAATATCCTTCATTGTGAAGTTGAAATTGGGAAATTGTTTATTGACAACCAGCGGTCCCTTTGTCGTAAAGTTGAACTTGCGTTGTCTGGAGTCCAATATCCTTCGTTGTGAAGTTGAAATTGGCTCTGAAATTGTTTATTGACAACCAGCGGTCCCTTCGTCGTGAAGTTGAACTTGCGTTGTCTTGAGTCCAATATCCTTCGTTGTGAAGTTGAAATTGGGAAATTATTGGTTGACAACCAGCGGTCCCTTCGTCGTGAAGTTGAACTTGCGTTGTCTGGAGTCCAATATCCTTCATTGTGAAGTTGAAATTGGCTCTGAAATTGTTTATTGACAACCAGCGGTCTCTTCGTCGTGAAGTTGAACTTGCGTTGTCTGGAGTCCAATATCCTTCATTATGAAGTTGAAATTGGCTCTGGGTAAAACCTGCAAAGATATGCATATATGTGATGTTATGGATGTCATGCTCTTAGGTATGCCTAAAATGCATATGCAACATATGTTATTCTGGGCTCTGGAGAGAAATCTCGATCTCCGGTGGACTGTCGTTGTTGACTCTTGGTTTTGAAATCTGATCTTGAATTCTTCAAATGTTTAAAACTGATGTGCACACTCTATTTTTTTGATTTGGGAGATGCTCATCAACCATCTCAAGTATTTGTATGAGCCTTGATCGGTTTTTGAGTACCTGTACTTTTCAACAAATCTTTGTACAGTAATATGCGATTATCTTTTGCAAAAGTAAATAAAACATTAGGTTTAAATCCAATTCAAGATGCACAAAAGGAATTGATTTTGAGGAAAGATTGCCTTTATTCATAAGGGAGAAGAAGAATAAATAATACATGACGAACATTCTAGAAAATGAATACATGGTGAGGTGTAACTGAATGTCTCAGATCTCGATAATGTAGGTACTTCTGAGCTGAAAAGCCGTTTGGTGACCTTGAATGCAGCCTTTGCCAAAGGATCTTTGAAAATGTGACAACGTTCAGGAGAGTGCAACATTTCTCTGATTTATTGAGTTTGCAGAAGATTCATGTGCCGGGGATGTTTCCACTGTTAATATCCAAATTGCCCTTTTCGGGTTTTCAACTAGGACCCATCCTTGGTTGCAAGACGCCCTTTGCGGGTTTTCATCTTGAACCCACCTTATTTTCCTTCATTTCGTTTGTTTTTCTATTTTTTTTTCAATTTAGAGCGCCCTTTCGGGTTTTCACCCTAAACATTTTTCTTTTTTTTTTCTTTTTTTTTTCTACTTAGGACGCCCTCTCGGGTTTTCATCCTAAGCGAAATATTTTTTGACTGCGTCCGTGTTGATGGGATGTGGCAGTTCCGGTCCGTCCATTTCAGTTAGGACGAGGGCTCCTCCGGAGAAAGCCTTCTTCACGACATAAGGTCCTTCCCAATTTGGCGTCCATTTTCCTCGGAAATCCTTCTGGACTGGCCAAATTCTTTTTAGCACCAGATCTCCCTCGCAGAATATTCTTGGGCGCACCTTTTTGTCATGTGCTCGGATCATTCGTTTCTGATAAATTTGACCATGATGAATTGCTTTCAGTCTTTTTTCATCTATCAGATTAAGCTGATCATATCTGGATTGTGCCCACTCTGCATCATCCAGTTTAACTTCTGACAAGACCCTGAGAGACGGAATCTCGACTTCAATGGGTAGCACTGCTTCCATTCCATAGGCTAACGAAAATGGAGTTGCCCCAGTCGAAGTTCGTACCGAGGTTCGATAAGCGAACAAAGCAAAAGGCAACTTCTCATGCCAGTCTTTGTAAGTTTCAGTCGTTTTCTCCACTATCTTCTTAATGTTTTTGTTTGCTGCTTCTACTGCTCCATTCATCTTTGGTCTGTAAGTAGTGGAATTGTGATGTTTTATGTTGAACTGTTCGCAAGCAGCACTCATCATCTTGTTGTTCAAGTTTGTTGCGTTATCGGTGATAATCCTTTCAGGTAGACCATACCGACATATAATTTCTTTCTTCAGAAACTTGCAAATAGTGGATTGAGTGACACTGGTATATGACGCAGCCTCTACCCATTTCGTGAAATAGTCAATTGCTACGAGAATGAAACGGTGACCATTCGAAGCCTTCGGATGGATTTGCCCGATAACGTCCATGCCCCACACAGAGAAAGGCCATGGTGACGTTATTACATGAAGCGGATGGGGTGGAACATTTATCTTGTCTCCATAAATATGACATTTATGACATCTCCTAGCATAGTTGATGCAATCGCTTTCCAGCGAGGACCAAAAATATCCGCATATCATTATTTGTCTTGACATCATATGCCCATTTGCATGTGCTCCACAAACTTCATCATGTACTTATTCCACTATCATTTTTGCCTCTTCAGCATCGACGCACCTTAACAGAACTTGGTTATGGCTTTTCTTATATAAAACCTTTCCGTCAAGGACGTATCCAGCTGCCAACCTTCTAAGGGTTCTTTTATCGGTTTCGGTGGCTTTTTCTGGATAACTCCGATGCTTGATATACTGCAGAATGTCGTCGTACCAAGGCTTAGTGTCTTTCGCTTCTTCAATTTGGTAACAATAAGCTGGGTACTCATATGACTGCATGTTAATTGGCATCATTTCAGACTCCCCACCAGCCCTGAATGCGGCTGCCAATGTAGCTAAAGCGTCAGCCATCTGATTTTCTTCTCTAGGTACGTAGTGGAAGGTGACTTCGTCGAGCTCTTCGAGTAGATCCAGCACTAGTCTCCGGTATTCTAACAGTTTTATATCCTTAGTTTCCCATTCTCCTCAGAGCTGATAGATTACTAAAGCTGAGTCACCATACACCCGCAAAGTCTTTATATTTTGCCCCAATGCAGCCCGAATTCCCAAGACGCATGCTTCATATTCAGCCATGTTATTGGTGCAATCAAAGTTTAGTCTGCTGGTAAATGGGTAATGACTCCCTTCCGGAGAGATCAGGATTACCCCGATGCCATGTCCTAATGCATTTGATGCTCCATCGAAATGCATTTTCCAGGAGCTGTCTGTTGAAGTATCTGCTTCTTCTAAAGATATGGCCATTAAGTCTTCGTCTAGGAAATCAAAGTCCAGCGGCTCATAGCTCCCATCAGTTCTGCTTGCCAAAAAATCGGATATGGCACTGCCTTTTACCGCTTTTTGGCTCACATATTCGATGTCGAATTCAGACAATAGAATCTGCCATCGGGCTAACCTTCCGGATAGAGCAGGTATACCTATCATGTATTTTAATGGATCTAACTTGGAAATCAGCCAAGTAGTGTGATACAGCATGTATTGCCGGAGTCTTTTTGTAGCCCAGACCAGAGCACAACAAACCTTCTCAATAGGAGGATATCGGATCTCGCCATCGGTGAACTTCTTGCTTAGATAATAGATGGCTCTTTCCTTCTTCCCGGACTCGTCATGTTGGCCCAGGACACACCCCATGGAGTTCTCGAATATGGAGAGATACAGGAACAGAGGTTTGCCTGGGATAGGGGACATCAGGATAAGAGTGTGAGATAAGTACTCTTTTACCTTCTCGAATGCAATCTGACAGTTTTCATCCCATGCCCCAGGGCTATTTTTTCGAAGAAGGCTAAAGATTGGATCACACTTGTCGGTTAACTGAGATATAAACCGAGCTATGTAATTCAATCTTCCTAAAAAACCTCGGACCTCCTTTTGTGTTTGTGGTGGAGGTAGACTCTGGATAGCCTTGACTTTATCAGGATCAACCTCAATGCCTTTTCTGCTGACTACAAAGCCTAATAGCTTCCCGGATGTCACCCCGAAGGTGCACTTGCTAGGGTTCAGCCGTAACTGAAATTTTCTCAATCTCTGGAAGAGCTTTCTCAAATTCTCGACATGTTCATTCTCAGTCTGTGCCTTGACAATCATGTCGTCGATATAAACCTCGATTTCTTTGTGCATCAAGTCGTGGAACAGGGTCACCATAGCTCTCTGATATGTTGCCCCAGTATTCTTTAATCCGAAAGGCATCACTTTGTAACAGAAAGTTCACCATATCTTCAGGATGCATCTTGATCTGATTGTACCCCGAAAATCCGTCCATGAATGAAAAGTAGGCGTTCCCGGCTGTATTGTCCACCAGAGTGTCTATGTGTGGCAGAGGAAAGTTGTCATTGGGACTTGCCTTGTTAAGGTCCCGGTAATCAACACACATGCGTGCCTTCCCGTCCTTCTTCGGCACAGGCACTATGTTGGCCACCCACTCCGGGTATTTGGCTACTTGGAGAAAACCGGCATCAAATTGCTTCTTGACTTCTTCCTTGATCTTAAGAAGCATTTCTGGCCGCATTCTTCTCAGTTTTTGCTGCACAGGTTTGAATTCTGGTTTGATTGGCAGTTTGTGAACTACCATATCTGTGTCTAGTCCCGGCATGTCTTGATACGACCAAGCGAACACATCTCCGTACTCCTGAAGTAAGACTATCAGGTTTTTTCTTGCTTTAGTCGAAAGAGTTGTGCCGATTTTAACCTCCTTTCGATCTTCCTCAGTGCCCAAATTTAAGATTTCGATCGCCTCCTCATGTGGCAGTATTTGCTTTTCTTCTTTTTCTATCATTCTCAACAATTCGGTAGGCAAGTTGTACTCCTCTTGATTATCGCATTCATCAAATTCCCCAAGACAAATGGTTGATTCAAAATCCACCTCTGGATCAGGATCATCAGTGCCCACATTATCGTTATCTGGGAACCTGAAAGGCGGAAGATATGCATGTGTGAGAGGATAATATCCCACACGGAACGGTCAAGAACTAACTTTGAGAGTAACTGGAAATGAAGTACTGGAATGAAGGAGATAGAGAATGAATTCAAAAATAAAAGAAAAGTTTGTTTGCCATGGAAAAGAAAAATGCATCTTTTATTAAACTTAAACCAAATGTTTATTTACCCTTACAAAAGATCACCTATTGCCCCGGGTATAGGCAAATAGGGATAGTTCGAATATTACTCTGAAAGATTCTTGTAAACCACAGGTAGTTCTTCCACCGACCAACTGCTAGGTACAAACCCATGTGGCAGAGGGCATATCCTGGATCTATCTCCGTTGTCAACATCTTCTGTGGTCACGACATTAACGTTCAGATCTTCCAGAGCCGTTTCTAACTCGGATATGGTGGTCTCAAACACATAACCACCTGACTTGAATGTTTTGAAGAGCGGCGGGAATGTCATAGGCTTCCATTGGAGTTCGTTTCCAGTCAATCTGGCCAACCTTCTCTCCCGGTTCTTTTGGATATCCTTTCTCTTTTCATGATAACTGGGCTGAAAACCGAGCCCAAATTGGTCTAATTTTGGGATAGGACGGACATGATTGATCATTCCTTGCAAATATTTCCCAAAACCTCTCCCGGTTCTGGCGCCTCGGCCTAGGGTTTGCTTGATCTCCATCCTTGTGCATTTGGAGAGTCGAGGTCTTGGGATTCTCTTTCCTTTCGCCACGAATGTGGCATTCACAAACTCCAAGGAGCGGAACGAACATTCTACCGCTTCCTCGTCTACTTCGATGTATGGAGCCTCTGTGGTCAC